AGAAAAAGTGTAACTAATTGATATAAAATCCAATACTAAAACATAAATTGGCATTTCCCTATATGTAGAGTTTAGTATATTAGCATTAGATATCGACATGGAAACTCACTAGTGCGTGTGTTTGATGTCGTAGGATCCCGGTAGTAAGACGTTGGTGCATCCCGAAGTACCGCTTGTGTCTACACAAAACATCGTGAGTATTCACGCACTCCCCTATTTTCGGTTTTTATGTTTTGGGGTGGAAAAGCATGTCCAGAAAAACTACTGTTTGCATGTTGTATTTAAATTGAATTGTATCAAACATGATTGCTATTGTATTGCTATGTTTCTTTATGTATGTCTATGCAACACGGAACATGAGAACTTATCGTACTAAGGCCCTTCCCTTATCTCTAACCATTAACTCTTTGAGCCAATGGTCGTTATGGATAGCGCTATTAGGAATTGACAACTCCTCACTCGCCCGAATCGCTGGAGTGCATGATACCATATTCATCTATGGAACGATAAGCATAGATCTCGATAGGGCTTCAGTCATAGGTTTGGTTGAGACTCATTGTTTGCTCATACACATACAAACTCGTTTCTCGTTATAGCAATAAACTTGTATTCATTAATAGCAATCAACTTGTTTATCATTGAAGCAATGTACTTGTATTTACGAAAAGCCTTATTGTACGCTCGATTTTTATAAACTTGTGATACTCACCAACTATTTTCATAGTTGATGCTCGTTTTACATGCTTTTTCAGGAAGTAATTAGTAAGTGGATGTAAAGATTCATCATCATAGAGCATGCTGCATCGTGTTGAAGCTATTATGAAGCTATATTTTGAACAATGTTATTTTGAAAAACTTGTATTTTGTTTCTTTTGAAGCTATGGGTTGTAAACTTTTAAATACTGCTATGGTGATGTATCTTTATCTTTTGCATTGAAACCGTTATCGTTGTCATACCTTGCGTTTCCGCTTTAGTGGGGTGTGACAACTTGTAACATCCTAAAAATTTGAACAAATTTAAACTTTTCAAAACAACCCATTTACTACTAAAAGTGTTTACAAAACCAATATTCCCAAAACATGATTTAAAATCAGAGTCTCCCAAGATCTAATTGGTAGTAAAACCAAGGATGTATATGGTCATGCCCTTTTCCTTCTCGCAACCGTTTGAAGCACCTGAAACAATAAATTGAAACTATAAGCACAAAACATAGTGAGTTCCCCCAAAGTACCACCACATACAGAGCGTTCAACCTGACTGTACCGTTGCACCGGCCTACAGACTATTTGGACCGCTCTCAAAACCTTCAGTATGAATGGACCACCTCAGCTGGCCTTCAACCTATCTGGACCGTTTTCTAGGCCTTTGACCTAAATGGACTGCCTCACAAGCCTACGGTCCATCCGGACGCCCCCGAGTATGTTGGCCTTCAGCACAAAGCAGGACTGCCTCAACCTAACAGCACATAAAATGTCGACATATACATAACAAAAAAACATATAACCAATCAACAAACAAACATGAAGATCTATAGATCACCACCGCATGCTAGCATCCAATATACTAGGATACCGATCTAACATTTCACTACAACATAACAACATCATATATACCAGGATATAGATCTAACATATCACTACATCATAACAACATCCTATATATCAGGATATAGATCTAACAGATCCCTACAACATGAAAACATCCTATATACCAGGATACAGATCTAACTGATCACTGTAGCATAGCAATATACGATAAACTAGGATATCAATCCAAAGTGCCAGCCTTGGTGCCTTCGATTCGTATGTACAATGAGGAAAACTCACCTCGCCAACTGGACAAAAGCTGATGAGGGCCCGACTTTGAATCCCAGCTCTCAAAACAACACCTACTCCAACTAAAATACCAAACACAATCAAACTCCCCAAAATACCCTCAAGGTCCAACTTGGTCAAACTTGGTCAAAGTCAAAGTCAAATGGTCAAGGTCCAAAAGTCAATATCTCTTCCCAGTAGAGTACGCCCTGCGTACCAAGAGAGTACGCCCAACATACTCTAATGTTGACCAAAAGCGTCGTGCTGACCGTGTGCGTGCAACGTACCACTAGGTACACCCAACGCACACAGCCCGATCCCAAAACTCCATTAAGAGGTTATTCCATTAAGTTCTTACATCCAAAACTCAGATCCAAGCCCAAAATGATGTCACAAGTCATAAAGTTTCCAACTTTATGACTTCGCATGGCTATAAAAGGCTTAATGTCTAAAGCCCTAAGTTCTTAACCCAAGAAGACATCACAACTCTTGCATGAAAGGGATAGAAGGGCCAATATTGTATTTTTTTTAGTTCATAATAACTTTATAATGGATAAAGTTTCTAACTTTATCCATTAGAATGGTCCCAACAAACAAGATCTAGTGTCTCAGTCTCAAAGGGACCTAATAGTAGATCTTTTTCAACGTAATTCATTAATTACAGGTCTCCAAATTACAGATCTAAATCAAAATGATGTTTAGATGGGTAAAGTTTCAAACTTTAACCATAACAAGGTCACAAACTTTCAAGATCTAAACTTTATGCACTAAAATGGCCAAAAGCTCATAACATCCAAAACTAGTTAGATCTAACAAATGCATCATCAAGATTCAAACTTTATACCTCTAGAAGATAGATAAAGCTAAACAAAGTCCAAATCTACAAGCTCTAATGCAACCAACACTTCTCCAAGAATTTCTTTCTTCTCTAAGGTGCACCATGCATATTCCAAAGCATTCAAGAACACCTTCTTTTAGCACACAATGCTTAACTAGGGTTAAGGTTTTAAGGAAGGGGTGTTGGAGGGGTGGAGGCTGAGAATGGAGTGGGTTTAGGGGAGTTAAGGAGCTTAAATAGGGATCAAACCATGAAAATAGGGTTTCGGTGTTGAATGTGTATGCCCATGGTACTTTTGGTACGCCTAGCGTACTCAGGGTGTTACGACCAACGTACTCAGCATAACCCAAAACTAACCAAACTTCAAACCGACATATCTTCTTCATTCTAACACTGATTTTGACACTCTTTATATCCACGGAAAGGTAACTATAAGCTCTACACTTCTATCAACTCATCCTCGCCTTAAACTTTCTAAAAAATTTCCAAAATTCATAAAACCCCGAACTGACACTTTTCCGAAATACCCCATGGCGCCAAAATACAGACCAAACTCTCAGATCATCCAAATTATATTAGCCACACCCAAATGGGTCTAAATCTCTTTTCCTCAAAGGCCCTAAGCCTTACTATACTCAACCTTCGGGTCACCACCCCCACATAGGAAACGATCCGGAACAGGGCATTACGACATTAAAGATACTTAATTTCTCACTTAGGTTATTGATGGTTAGAACGAAAAACTATACCCGAAACTATGAATTTCAATTTTCTAGTGGTGTCAATATTATGTTCAAGTTGAATGATGAGGAACTTGGTTATGCAAATTGATGTTACAATTGGTGTTGCTTTCACTAATACATGGATTTGCTTTTACTTACATAGTAGTTGTGGTTTCGTGGCAGAAAGAATATGAACATAACCATAGAAACAAATATGTATTTTATAGTTGAAACTCCAAATCCAACCAATAAGTCTAGTTACCTCATTACATGAGTAAGTAGGTGCTACTTATGGTTTACCGGAAAGCTTGTAACATCAGAATCTATTATATAAAAAGTACTCGGCTTTGGTACCCCAACTAAAAACCATTTCAATAATTGTGACTTCATGCCAATCTAAAACGAGTTTTGGCTTTTCTCCCTTAAATTCAAAAAAGTCAACTTTTTCACATATGGAGTCATCATTTTTCTTGCATCAGCTTCATGCAACTCCCGCTCTTCCGCCCCATCAAATTCCTAGAGCATCAAACAAACACATAAGTTTTTCATGTGAGGTGCGTAAATCTAAACTAATGTTTTTAATTCATGAAAAGACTAAATATTTACTCAATTTTCTTTTTGCATATAGTAGGATAATGTGAAGGTGCCCACTTCAAATCCTTTTAAGATTACATCTAGGGTTTGTGAAAACTTAGTCTAAAGACCATCTGTGATGTTTTCAAAACTGAGAATTATTATGACGGGTCATGAAGGGCATAAAAAACTACCATTTGATCATATGAAAATACCTCTTTAACAATTAACTTGAGAGACTCTAGTTTGGTATAATATTTGAGAATTCTAATGAGCTCATCCATGGTGAAGGCATCAATTGCTGTGATTAGCGCCAGGGTCTTCAGATTAGGTAGAGCCGGATTACATGCAACATTAATGCACTACGATAATGACAGAAAGTAAGGGTTGCAGTATACTCAAATTATAAAAATTTGATGAAAACAAATGATACTTTCAAACATCTCCAAGTGTCATATTTTTTCCTATGAATTACCTAATAACCAAGTTTGAAAAAAAAGAACATAGATTGACAAATCTATAGAGACTATTCGTCTAGTAAATATTGCAACATTTCATCTTTTGGAAAGTATTCAAGCTAAAACTATTCATTTCAGCCCTTATTGGAGTTATAAACTTTGATCCAAAACATTTCATGCATTTCTCTATTTTTTTTTTTTTTGGAAACGATGCATTTCTCTATTAAGCCATTCTTTCAGCATTAAATTAAAAAGAAACACCCATGGAGTATATTTACTAGATTACACCTTGTTCTCCTTAAGTAGAAAAGAAACATCATTTAAGAAATTACATAGAAAACTTTTTTTAACAGGAATTAAGAGATGTGCATAAAGTATATAAGCATGTACCTGACTAAAGAAGTAAAGGTCGATTCACAAATGTTCCACATGAGAAATTCCAGGAAACAATACAGATTTGATGTTCCCCGTCAATTTAGGCTCAATACCTACTTTATTTAAGGAGTCAATACATTCAAAGAAAAAATTATTTGCTATAAGACCTCTTAACTCCAAATCCACCAGTTTTTGGCAGAAAATGTTAACTCCTCCACTCTAGCCCTCATCAATAAGGGCCACATTAAGAATGTTAAGCTTCTTGAGCTTCGGGCGAGAAATAGAATGAAGATCAAGTTTGCATAGCATGTAGTGTAACAAACCCAGATACTCAAGCGAATGGCAGCTTTCTAGAAAACCTTTTACCAAATTGTCGTCTCTCAAGTCAACATAGGCCAAATAAATATCCTTAAGCCCAGGAAACCCCATAATATTAGGCAACTTTAGACCACGATAATTAAAATCCAACATTAATGCCTCCAAGGAACAACAAGTCACAAGACAATGGGGGAGCTGGACATCCTCATTCTCCTCTTCAGGGTAAAACGTCAACTGAAGTTTTTTGACGTTTCTTGTAACGACCATGTGAATCCACCGCCTTACTGTCGACATGTTGTAGTAATCGTAACAATCTAAACTAAAAGGATACAAATCGTTGGATCTGTTTGCTAAAACCCAAAACACAAAGTCTTTGAATTTGTCTGTTTTTAATTTGTCTTCTCAGTGAAATCGGGAAAATAAGTCTAGGGAGGGAATTGAAGTCCATAAATACCTCCATCGTCTGGAAAAAATGTTGGTTTGAATTACTTCTTCTGTAAAGAAAAGAAAGGAAAGAATCAATAGAAGAATAGAATCCGACATGTTACTGATGAAATCGACCCCATCTTCAGATTTTGTTGTCTTTCGTTGTTCAAACTTTTGGATGCCTTTTTGGAGATGTGAATCAAAAGTTATTTAGACACGCAGACGGATATCAAATCACACACAACACAGTTTCCAATTATTTTTCTCTTTGGTCGCTCGTATATTTCTACATTCATATACATAAAATGGAATGACACACTCTTATCGCACCAGGTTTTAAACGTTACTCAAGATTTTCACCCTTTATTATATATATATATATATATATATATATATATATATATATATATATATATATATATATATATATATATATATACTAGGCGAATGCCCGTGCGTTGCGTAGTAACACATATTTATTTGAAGTATTTACAAATATACGTTTTTATTTAAAAATAACAATAACGTTGTTGTTAAATTTGATACAATAATTCATAAAATAAACTGATTTAATATATTGATTATTTTGAATTATACAATAATATATATATATCTATTATAACTGTATAATCTCAATCATTTGAATAACTTCCACCCGCGAGTTACACATGAATAAAATTAAATATAATATATGGTTTAATGTTATTTATATTTGTTGTTATAGTTAATTAATTTTTTAAAATTTATTTGCTTAATGTTTTAATTCTTATCATTATAATTATTTAAAATATCAAACATTGTTTTTTGATTTTAAAGGTAGCGATATAATCATTTATATATGGTTATTTTTAACAATTATTATTGTAAGTTATTTTAAGCTACTTATTTGAAAATTTTTAAAGATTATAAAAATACTTTAGAAAATATTTTAGTTAAATTGATATTACAATTTAGTTTTTTGCATTTATCGCTTTTAACTGTTTATAAAATACTCTTTGGTTTATTAAGTAAAACTGAAATTTATATTTAAGTAGACACTGTAATGTTATATTTAAATTAACTATTTAAGTATTTTGTTCAAACTGTTCAAAAGTTGTAGTTTTAAGCTGATAATGATTTACATACAACAACATTTTAAATCTAATAAATTAAGTATAATATATTAAAAGTAAAAGACATAACTAAATAAGTAGATATAAAGATATTATTTTAAAATTAAAATTTAGTTTATTTATGATTACACTTTAGGTTTGATATTTATTTAACTTTATTAACCAACTTATAATCATTATTAGAAAGACACTACAATTTATTACTTTTAACTATTTACAAAATATTTTTTGGGTTGTTTAAGTTAAACTAAAACTTATGTTTAAGTTGACCATGTAATGTTATACTTAAATTAACAATTTAAGTATTTTATACAAATTGTTCCAAATTTTTTATCTTTAAAATGATAATTGTTTACATCCAACAATATATTAAAACAAATAAATTAAGTATAATATGTTAAAAGTTAACAAACATAACTTTATAAGTAGAAGTAAATATATTATTTTAATATTAATATTTAGTTTATATATGATTACACTTTATGTTGGATATTTATCTAACCTTATTAAACAACTTATAATTATTATTATAAAGAAATTGAAAAGTCATGAAAGTTTCAAATGAATGTGGTGAAAGGAAAAATGCACCAGAGTTTCAAATGAATATAGAGAAAGAAAAAATGTTCCCTTTATAAGTATATAAAGATAAAGATTCATACAAATTTATGCAAATGCAACCATTTATCAATCTTTTTACTAAATTTTGTATTTTAACTTTATATATTATTAATTTACGCATGCATATTGATAGTGTTATATATTCTGGAAAATAAATTAGTTTATTACATATATATATATATATATATATACACACACACACACACCCCATTGAATATTATATTTTAATGGAATAAATATAGACATATAGTTAATGAAGAAAGTATTATCCCAATAGAGCATTTAATATGTAGGCCTAATCAAATTGGAGTTTAGGTGGGACACAGCGCAAGACATATTATATATGTGTGAGGCCCGATGCACAAAATATATGGTTCGTAATCTAATACATGTTTGAAACTGAATCGTTTGTTTTAAATCTGTCTTAAATCGGTTTATGTATTCTGATAGGGGAACCGGTTTGGGTGAAACCGGTTTTCAAATTTATAAAAAAACCAATTGTCATATTTTTTTTAAATATTATTATTATCTATTACTTTTTCAATTTGTTTTTTATATAAGGTTTTAGATGTTACCCAGAGGCCTGTTTACACTTCTTGTATTATCTTGGATGCCTAGAGAATACTTTTTAAATTTCAAAAAGCTTAAAATCACTATTTTGAACCCTCTAAATGGTTCTGGATCACCAACAAATACATGAACTTAAGGTTGTGAAAATTTCGATTTTGATTTTACGATTTTACTATTTTAAGATCCTACAAGTGAAAAATGATCCTGAGCACACCTCTTTAGTTTTACTATCCAAACAAGTATTAAAAATTCATCTATTCAACTTGCAACGAGCTTCACAAGTTGCAAGAAGTCTTCTAGAGCATCACCATTTTATCAATGCAACTCGAATTAGGCATATGATACCCATATTAATCTATTTGTAATCTTATGTCTAACTTGTACACGATCAAAACAATCTTATTTCTAATTAACATGATTTATTATAAATATTTATGGTTTGTAGCAACAACAATTATGAGTAATGCATAAGAAGTTAAAGTTGATTCCACTATCTTGTTAGCAAATTTGAATATGAGTTTATTTGTTAGGATTTTATGATCCCAATCCGATCTTAGGGTATGATCTAGCAAAACGTAAAACGATTTTAAGTAAGATCTTGATTTTGATAATCTTGCGTTAACTTATAGCATAACCATAAGTTTTACTTATTTGCCTGTGATCAACCATAAAAATTTCGTTAAATTCCGACACCTAAAGAGAGTTCCGTAAAAGACGAAAAACTAACGACAAAATAGATTTTTTTTCAAATTGATCCTAATCCATTCTTATAGGTTTAGGTATTTTAGACAAAGATCGGTTTCAATTTCCCAAAAAAATTTGGTTTATTCACCTCTACCCATTTATTTATTTCATGTATTTTTTTAGGACCAAATATGTGAGCGAGTTTAGAAAATCAGAAAGACGAAGAAAAAGGTGTCTCTCAATCTCTCGTTTCACATAATCATATACACCCAACACATACAAATCAGTGGGTCGGCATTATATCAGTCATAGTCACATAATTATATACATCCAACACATACAAATAAGTGGGTTGACATTAGTATATTCAACCTACTAGTGTGGTAAGAAGACTCGCCTCTATACGAAGATAACTGAACCACACACTCGAGTTGTTGCTAACTCCTCACACTGATAATATCATAAAAGATAACCCTAATTAATAATCAGGTCTTCAACCCATAATAAACGATCTAAATATTCCTTTATCTTAATAAGGGCTAAAAGGTCATTTTTCCCTTCCCATTCATATCTCAACTTAACAATCCCAACCCCTAATAGTCTAAGGCCCAAAAGAATGGCCCAATCAGGTGTTCTGATAGTACGCCTTGTGTAAACTCTCCTACGCCCCCGCCTATGGATTTGTTCTTAAAGGAAAGGTTACGGGGCTTCAACCCTCTACACCTAACGTATAGAGCATTACACCCAACATAATACCCTGACGTCTAAAATCTATCTAAGTGTCTTAATGCATTAAAACTTCACATCTAACTTTAGATCTAAGCTTAATAAAACGTATAACACCATAAAGTTGAAAACTTTATGCCTTTGTAGGGCTGTAAAGAGCCCAACATCAAAACCCTAACTTATTCAACCATTTACAACTCCATAGCTCTTCCATGGAAGAAAACCAAGGTCAAAACTTGCATTTTTATGATATAAAACACCCTAAAACGTCTGGAAGGAAAACCTAAAGGCTCTGGAGTATTCCATACTCACAAAGATCAAGGTTTTTGGAAAAAAAAGAGTGTAAATCTAAGCTTGAACAAGATCTAAAGAAATACACATCAAGGTTGTAGCTTTATACCTCAAAAAGATGCACAAGGTTGAGTAATTGTTGGATCCAAATATGTTTAGAGCAAAGCGACTTCTTTGATGATCTTCCTACATAAACAAGAATACACAAAACTCACTCAAAAGCTTCAAATCTCACTCTCAAGGCTAGGGTTTTTGATCATAGGGTTTAGAGGAATGGATGTTGGAGGTAAGAATGGGTTTGAGATCATAATGATCTTTAAATATGGTCTAACCCATAAAAATTAGGGTTTGTCCCTTGCTTGTGTACAACCAACGTACATACACATACCCCCACTGTCCATGAGAAACTCCACAATCACATTCAAAGTCCTATGCCCGTCGTACCTGACTCATACGCCGAGCGTACGGACCTATTTTGCCAACTTTTAAGAAATAAAGCTAGAAAGAGAATTTACCTGGAACACTTGTGTTACATTATATTAATTTTTTAATTAATATAATTTTTGGAGGTGCCATTCTCTTTTACCAAAAAAAATATTTTGAAGGACATAATTTTATATTTTGTATAGGGCCAAATCAGATTGAATCAACCCTGTAATATGCCATTAATTTAATCAAATTTACATTTATATAATAAAATATTTTTACTCTTTACCCTTCCAAATGTAAGCACTTATGGAAAAATTAAGATTATGACTTTAGGTATTCTTGTGGTATTCGTAATGATTTATCATATGATTTTTTAATATATTTTATTAAAAAATTACTGAGCATCTTTAG